ATATATATAAACCTTTCTGTGACAAACATTGACAAACCAGCAATACTACCTGTAGTTTTTTCTATCTTTCCCTTTTTTCTTATTGCGGTGAAAACATCCACAGCAAAACAGATGTGGATTCAGCAGTTTCTAGATGGAGAATTCAGGGACATGGAAACTGTTCCTCAAGTTGCACAGCCATTCTTGCAATCATTTTCTCTATGTCTGAATCTTTTTTCTGAGTGTTTCCTGATTTTAAAACTCTGCAGAGTGTTGTCAATCTAGTAACATTTATTTTTAAATGTAATGAAGCCATAAAAGCACAAGGAATCTGGCATCACCACGTCAGGAAACAGGTTTTCTTAGAAGGTAACAGTTAACACATCACATAATGGTGTTCTGATTAAAAGAAAAAAAAAAGCTTTTCGAGTTTAATTTAGCCTTGTAAATACTGACATTGAATAGCTCTGAGTCCTGTTTTTGCATGGTTATATCCTTCCTAACTAACAAATGCATCCGTTATCATATCGACTGACTTCTCACAAATTTCCTAAACAGTCATCTCCTCTGTCTTATCATTGTTACAATGGAAGGATTTTGGAATGGTCTTCTTCTAGATTTTGTATCGTTTTGAGACCCTCCCTCCTCTTCAACGTCCTGTGTGAGATCTCTGAGCCAACTGGAGATTGCCCTGATTTAAGAACACTTTGAAAACGTCCCATATAGCACAGAAAAGACTATATGCTATATGACCTTTGAAAGACATTCACCTTAGAAATAAATGTAGTCCTGAGTATGTAGAGCATATTTCTTACTGCCTCTGAACACTGTGAAACACTACACCACTTCATTCATCAGTATTTGATATCTCAGTATCCTCAAAAACCAATGAAACGTTGCCGTCTTTGTTCTGTTACTTCAGTTCACCTTAGAGACTGGGATGGAAGTCCACATGGCCAGTCATCCTACCACTTTCTAGCATAAAAGAAGCATAAAATCCTACCTCAAAGGTATTAAAACGACATCAGGTTTTGAATTTAAGCACTGCATAGCCCCATCTGGCAAACATTTACGAACCATGAAAGCATTCTCAATGTTTGTCTGAACACCTGTCCTTTGGCCCAGCCCTAAGCTGCTGAGAACCAGGGGACAGAAGTGATCAGTGAGCTCAGCTGATGGAAGGTTTGCAGGTAAGCAATCATAATTCTGTGTGGCAGAGACACTAAGCAGAGGTGTACCCCAAGAGCTGCCATGCTATTTTTTTGTGGAAAGCATCACTCTCAAGGTTTTATTTGAGCTGGTCTAAAAGATGAATGGGAAGTCCTGGTGTGGTAGTGTATGATAAGTGCTGGACTTCGAACTGCAAGGTCAGTGGTTCAAACCCACCAAGTGTTCCTCAGCAACCCTATGCAATGTTGCTATGAG